CACTGATCCAATCAGAATCTTACAGATCTGACGGAGGTGTGCTTCTGACGGTGTTTGGTAATTTTCATTTAACAATAAACCAAAACATCCGAGGTATAAAACAGATGCCACGTCAGCTCTAATGCAGTTCAAAGCGTTCCAGAGCAAAGTGACGGAGTGGCCAATCCTGAACTTTAACTCTTCAACCGAAAGAACCACGACAAGCTGAGAAAATCCAGTCGCTATAACAACAAGCAACGACAACAGCTCCTTTCAGAATAAGAGCTCCACTGACCCAGGCTGGGTCTGAACAGACGCCAAGACAAGAGTCGTGTACCGGCAGTATCTCGAGACGGGTCTGGTCGGAACCGCAGCTCTGCTACCAGCTCGGTGTCCAGAGAGGGTCCGGGTGGACCTCGGCATTCCTGATCTCACAGAGGACTTCCACCAGGCAGGTAGGCGCGGCTTAATGGTGTCTCATGCAGTTCTGAAACGAACCCCAGCTTATTCCAAACCAACATCTTCAGTTCCCGTCAGAACTAATCGCTTCTTCGGATTTGCGGGTTCTGATTTACATGACACGTCATCCATTCACCGCCTCATCCATTTTTAGTCGCACTATACACTTAGTTGTTAAATAAGCCTAGTATAATTGTTAGTAATAAAATTTCTTAACTTTTAAACTTGACTCGTTCTATTCTGTTGTCTCTGAGTGAATACATAACGGTTACATGATCTCTGCATTAAAAAGACCCGATCTTCTGGTTTAACCAACCCCGATCCATGAGGCGGATTTCATATTTCCTATGGAATCCCACGCCTTACGGCTCATTAATTAAAATGTAAGAACCTCATTTTTCCCTTACAGCTGAGTCCCATTCTGTCCCGCTCTGAACTTGAGACTGTTCTCCACACCTTCATCTCCTCACGCTTAGACTACTGTAACTTTCTTTTCACGTGTCTGAGCAGAACCTCCCTGAACCGTCTACAGGTGGTTCAGAACGCCTGTGCTCGGCTTCTGACCAAGTCCTCCAAACACACCCACATCACCCCGATTCATGAAAAAAGCACTAAAACTGAGTTATTTTCTAGAAAAGACTTTTTTTTGCCTGGGGTGTTTAGTAGAGGTGTGAATCTTCATTTGTCTCCCGATTCGATTCGATATCCCGATGCATCACGATTATTTCATATTGATTTGTTTTCATCGATAAACAGAAGATGTCAGATAATTGCTTTTTATTTTTTTATCTAAAACGTAATTGACACAACCTGCCATCCCTCAAAAGCTCTCCATTCACAACAGGTTAGGACAAAACATTTAAGAAGATTTAACAAAGTAAAACAATCTGTTTCCTGGTTCAACACCACGCCTCAGGCTGAGAAAACACGCTTTGCAAAAACTCAAAAAATCTAAAAAAAGTTCTGAAAACCTACAGGACACATAATGTAATAATAGAATACATAATGGGTTCATATATGAGTGTTTCATGTCTCTGAGCAGCTCTAGATTCAGATGTTTATGCCACAGTTGAAGGGTATCAGAAATAACACCAAATGAAATGTTTGACTTAGTTTCATTTGAACCCAGTGGTTAATTTCTGAAATGTTGGAGAATGAATCAAGTTCTGTTTGATGCAGAAAATAATAAAACATAAAACAAATTCTACACTTCCAATAATATTTAAGATGTGTGTTTTATTCTTTCTGATAATAACACCAGCAGAAGGATGTGGGCTGGATTAGGATTAAATTACCCAGCTGATGGATCTCTTTCACTAACCAGCTAACTACAAACCTTTCCACTAACCTGTCCTGTGGGACCCTCACCATGTGACCCTCATGTCCATGCTGTCTCTGGAGGAGCAGATAGGAGACAAGTCTCCTGTAACTTAAATTGACCAAAGCTTCCTCCCAGTTTCTCTTTAAGCTGAATTTAACATCAGTTTATCAAAGTCATTTATTGTCATTTCTACCACATGTGCAAGACATACAGAGAAACGAAACAAAAGAATAAAGTGGAACAAGAACTTCTATTTCTCTCTCCTTTTAACTTCTCCATGTCCCTAAATAAAAGAGACAGTCGATCACGCTGCAGCCGCCGTCACTGACCCCGCCCCCTCCCCAAGACCGGATCTCCCTACATTACAACAAGCAGTCTGGCTGAGCGCTTCCAGGAGAAATAATAATTAAATTATGAAAATAATTATTAAATTATGAAAATAATAACGAGTGTTTGGATCATCGGTTTGGAGGAGCGTCCTCCGATCGTCTCTCTTGTGTGAGCAGACAGTCTCTCTCTCTCTCAGTCGCTGATTGAGCGAGTGGAGTGCGCCGCACGACAACCCGCTCAATTAACATAATTCACGGCCCAAATCCAACAGAACCGGTCGGGCTGATTCGGTTCCGGTTTGGTCTCGGGTGACAACTCTAGCGCTCAGCCCTGCAGTACCACATTAAGGCGGAGGTAAATGTGGAGGACGCTCACTCTGACAGATTTGGATGCAGCGCTGGTGCCGCCGTTAAAAAAACAAAACTACATTCCACTATAATCGATGATGGCGTACTCTTCTACGATGCAGAATCGTTTATGTCCGCATCCTGATGCATCGATTATTTGATTATTTTCCTCAGCTCTAGTGTTTAGTACAAATCAGTCTTGATTATGTTATGAAATATCTAAACTTTATAATTTTTTGCATTTATACTTTTTACATAGCAACAGATTTAAAATTGACTATACACTCGAGCCATTAGAGGACAAAAACGTCCCATTGACTTTAATGCACACCACAGTTTTTGATCCTGTATCATCTGCAACAAATAATCATGCTTTCTGTGATGTTATGGTTTCATTTTGGACAAAAGTAGAATTCAGTCATGTCTCCATATGTTGCCCAGGCGAGAAAGTTTACACATTTCTTTAGATCTTCTGCTGTTTTTATTGAAGTCAAAAGGCCAACCTGACCTCTGATAAGTAAATAAAACACAGTTTGACTCTCCTACTGAACTTCAAAGTGTAGAAAACAAAAACAATTAGTATGTTTATGCACCTGCCACATTCAAACTCCTTGTAGTCTGGTTATCTGGTCATTTCACTTCTGTGAAAGCCACGGAGCTAAATGAAGAGGCATCTCTCTGTGGAACAAGTTCTGGATCAGCTCCTGCAGCCTGATACTCCTGGAGAAAATGAGGAGAGTGAAACATCTTCAGTGGACTTTGAGGTGGAGTCAGACCATTCTGTTTCCTTGACTTCTTCTCCTGACCTGTCCAGTGAAAGAGAAGGGAGGACAACGGATCCTGCTCCAGGATGGATTTCTAAAAGTGGGCAAGTCTGGTTTCCTACTAACGCAGAAACTTCCCACTATGTTCCTGCTGCAAGATGTTTGAATCCTGGGCCAACACGTTACGCCATCACACGTATTTACGATGTGGTATCCTCCTTTGATTTATTCTTTACTCCAGAAATGACTGAAATCATCGTCAACATGACAAATCTAAATGGAAGACGTGTGGTGAAGAACTGGTGGGATATTGATGACATCGCAGTGAGAGCATACATTGGGCTCCTGATTTTGGCTGGTGTGTACCAGTCCAAAGGGGAATCCACCTGCAGCCTTTGGGATGACCACTGTGGACGTGCAATCTTCCTGGCCACCATGAGTCACACCAAATTCAAGATGATCAACTCCACCCTCCGGTTTGATGATGAGCTGAACAGGCCTTCCCGTCTCAGGCAGGACAAGCTGGCCCCTATCCGCTCGATTTGGGACATGTGGACCCATCGCCTCCAAATGCTTTTCAACACTGGGTTAGATGTGTGTGCTGATGAGCAGCTTGTCCCTTTCAGAGGCAGGTGCAAGTTTCACCAACATATGCCAAGTAAACCAGCAAAGTACGGATTGAAACTCTGGGTCACTGCTGATGTTGCCACTTCCTATGCCTGCAAGTGTCAGGTTAACACAGGGAAAGCTGCTGGTGAGGCTGCAGAGGTCGGCCAGGGAAAACGTGTCATTTTGGAGATGACCGAAGAGCTCCAAGGAGTCACTTCACATGCATGCATTCACACTTCTGCCCTTTCATAACAAACTGAACTACAAAGAGTTTGGATGTGCCTGAGCTCCAGCCAGGTGCATAAACATATTGTTTTTGTTTTCTACCCTTTGATGTTCAGTAGGAGAGTGAAACTGTGTTTTGTTTACATGCTGAGCTTCTGACTGCAATAAAAACAGCAGAAGATTTATAGAAATGTGTAAACTTTCTCGCCTGGGCAACATATGAAGAAATGACTGAATTTGGTGGTGAACCGTAAAAATCATAAATTTGACTACTTTTGTCCAAAATGACACCATTACATCACAGAAAGCATGAATATTTGCTGCAGATAATGCAGGATCAAAAACTGTGGTTTGCATTGAAGTCAATGGGACGTTTTTGTCCATAACAGGCACAAGAGGGTGGTAAATTTTAAATCTGCTGCTACACAAAAACTAAAAAAGCATAAAATGTGATATTTTGCTAGACTCTTGACATATCCAAGGCTAATTCCATGCTGTCGTTCTTTTTAAAACACAGAAACGGTTTCGTTACCTGTTTTTTTAGAAAATAACTCGGTGCTGTTTTTTTTTTCTTCTTTTTTTTCTTCATAAATTACATCAATGACTTTTGAGTATTCAAACTGGCATTTCAGGGGTTAAAAGCTTCAAAATGATTGAATTTTTTTATGTTTGAGCAGGGCTGAAGTTGTTCAACAGATCTATGAAAAAAAAAACATTAATGTATACATTTTTTATAGCCACTTTTACAAGCGGACGTTTTTGTCCTCTAATGACTCTTGTATGAAAATTAAAGTGAAGCCTGAGGGTTAAGGCGCATATGATTTATAGAGGCTCAAAGTTCAGTTTCCAATTGTAAATACATTTCATTCTACTGTCAGTTTAAAGAAATAATACAACTGTTATCCGTGTGAAAACACAGTTACAGCTGTCTGTAATTCACATAATATGTTTCTGTGTTTCCTACAGATTTTCAACAGGTGGTTCTGGTTAAAGAAGAAGCTTCAGAAGAACAGAGTGCTCGTGTCAACCACCAACACCTAGATTTTCTCCACGAAAAGGAGGAACAGGAGAAACTCTGGTCTAGTATGGAGGGAGAGCATCTCCATTTGAATAAGGAGACTGATGCTGCCAGGTTTCAATCCTTTAGCCAAAAAACACATTTAAACAAACACACGAGAGTCCAGACAAAGCAGAAACATTTTGCCTGTGAGCTCTGTAGACAAAGATTTAGCCAAAAGACAAATTTAAACAAACACATGAGAGTCCACACAGGACAGAAGCCTTTCGCCTGTGAGCTCTGTGTAAAAAGATTTAGCCAAAAGACAAATTTAAACAGTCACATGAGAGTCCACACAGGACAGAAGCCTTTCGCCTGTGAGCTCTGTGTAAAAAGATTTAGCGAAAAGAAAACTTTAAATAATCACATGAAAGTCCACACAGGACAGAAGTCTTTCGCCTGTGAGCTCTGTGGAAAAAGATTTAGCCATCAGACAACTTTAATTAATCACATGAAAGTCCACACAGGACAGAAGCCTTTCACCTGTAAGCTCTGTGGACAAAGATTTAGCCAAAAGGCAACTTTAAACAGTCACATGAAAGTCCACACAGGACAGAAGCCCTTCGCCTGTGAGCTCTGTGTAAAAAGATTTAGCCACAAGACAACTTTAAACCGTCACATGAGAGTCCACACAGGAGAGAAGCCTTTTGCCTGTGAGCTCTGTGGACAAAGATTTAGCCAAAAGACAACTTTAAACCGTCACATGAGAGTCCACACAGGAGAGAAGCCTTTTGCCTGTGAGCTCTGTGTAAAAAGATTTAGCCGAAAGACAAAATTAAACACACACATGAGAGTCCACACAGGACAGAAGCATTTTGCTTGTGAGCTCTGTGGTAATAGATTTAGTGAAAAGGGACATTTAAATACACACATGAGTGTCCACACAGGACAGAAGCCTTTTGCCTGTGAGCTCTGTGGACAAAGATTTAGCCAAAAGACAACTTTAAACCGTCACATGAGAGTCCACACAGGAGAGAAGCCTTTTGCCTGTGAGCTCTGTGTAAAAAGATTTAGCCAAAAGACAAATTTAAACACACACATGAGAGTCCACACAGGACAGAAGCATTTTGCTTGTGAGCTCTGTGTTAAAAGATTTAGCCGAAAGTCAACTTTAATCAGTCACATGAGAGTCCACACAGGACAGAAGCCTTTCGCCTGTGAGCTCTGTGTAAAAAGATTTAGCCAAAAGACAAATTTAAACAGTCACATGAGAGTCCACACTGGCTTTTCGCCTGTGAGTTTGGTGGAAAAGATTTACCCAAAAGATCAGTTTAAATGGTCACAAAAGAGTCCATAAAGGACAGAAGCCCTTTGCTTGTGAGCTCTGTGGACGAAGATTTCGCCGAAAGAAAATTTTAAACAATCATCTAACTATCCACTAGGGCTGAATGATCTATTGCAGGGGTCTCCAACCTTTTTTTGGCCCGTGGCCTACTTTTACACAATGATTACATATGATTTATTTACATTGATACTTTCCATGTGTGAATTTGCTTATGTTAAAAATGCTATGCTTACTATATTAACATGCATTGTACTCACAAGTTGATTTCTCTGTATTTCAGTACATCAGTATATATATTTTTTAAAGTATAAGTAAACCAGTGACATTCTGAAAACCAAATTTAACAAAACATATTTAGTTTTTTAAACTAATCAGATACTTTCAGTTAATGAATAACAAATCTACTTCATGTGAATGATTTGGCATTTTTTTTAGAAGGTTGGTAACATAACTTTTTAAAAACACAGGAACAGCTAACCTGTAAAGCTGATAATATTTTATATAAAATACAAGCTAAATGTGATGAAAACACAAAAGTCTAAATAGTTTGAAATTAATTCAATTCAAGTTTATTTATATAGCGCCAAATCACGACAAGAGTACTCAAGGCACTTCACATTACAAACATTCCAATTCAGGTCAGTTCATTAAACCAATCAGAAATAATGTTTCCTATATAAGGAATCCAGCAAATTGCAGCAATCCTCATACTAAGCAAGCATAAAGCGACAGTGGAGAGGAAAACTCCCTTTTAACAGGAAGAAACCTCCAGAGAATCCCGGCTCAGTATAAGCAGCCATCCTCCACAACTCACTGGGGATCGAGAAGACAGAGCACACACACACACAAGCACACATGCGCGCACACATACACACAAAGACAAGTAATGTGTCTATAGTTATATTGTGATGTCTTAGTAAATATTCTATTTGGCGAAAGATAAACTTTATTGTATTTATCCTAGTGGATTTATACTTAAACGGATAAACTAGTATTAGCACATCCAACGTCAAGAAAAGCAAAAAGTTATTATCAGGAGACGGATAATGTTTAAGTGGTTAGCAGCATTGTGCTAGACGATGGCCCCTCCATGATGCCACCACAGCTCAGCAGAACATCGTTGTAGCTTCTTCTGGGGAGAAAAACAGAGAGAAAATAAAGTTAACAGCTGAAATTGCAGAAAATAGTACAGTTAAAGAGCAGACTGTAGAAGAAAGCAGTAGAGTGTTGTAGTGGAATATTGTTGTATATTCTTACACTGTTATTAGGTCCAGATATTATAATCAGAAGAGGTTGTTTTTACTTCAGGGAGTTTTACTTAAACACCTTGTATTGACTTAGAGACAAGAAAAGAGAGAGTTGGGATCGTTTAAGAATCTTTAATTTCTATAATTATAAATTCAAACAATCTACCAGGACTAACCCTCTATGATGGATGCATATGGATTTGAATGTTGAAGTTGTGTGTGTGTGTGTGTGTGTGTGTGTGTGTGTGTGTGTGTGTGTGTGTGTGTGTGTGTGTGTGTGTGTGTGTGTGTGTGTGTGTGTGTGTGTGTGTGTGTGTGTGTGTGTGTGTGTGTGTGTGTGTGTGTGTGTGTGTGTGTGTGTGTGTGTGTGTGTGTGTGTGTGTGTGTGTGTGTGTGTGTGTTCAGAACCTCCAGGCTGAGGCAGGCAGATCTGGTGTCAGATGTTTTGACTAGGAACCACGAGGCTTCAGAAGCTCATGACATGAAACGCCATCTTGTGCCGTGTCTACGTACCGTTAGAGTCTCCCGTGTTCAGATCAGGAATGCCAGGTCGACTCGGACCTTCCTCCGGTGCTTGGACTGATGGTACAGCTTCTGGAGCACGACAAACCAGTCTACGGATAGCTCTGGCAGTAGCGACAGGTCTCAGCGCGTTCAGCTTTTATTTTGAAGGAACCGTCGTCTTGTTGTTCAAACGACAGTATTTCCAGCTTGACAGTTCTCAGCTTAAAGTAGAAAAATACAGCTGGCCGGGCTGTAATCTCCTTTAGCGATGATGATTCGAGAGCTGGTTGACACTACGTTGAGTCTATGATGTAACTCAGATGAGGCTGAGGTGGAACTGAACTTAAAATGGCGATGCTCTGTTTTTATTAACTTAGTTGTTTATAAATCTTAGCAAATCGGAGTGGACAATTTAAGTTAACACTCCAGAACTCTGCCCCGCAACAGAAGGAGGTTCTGATTGGAATGAGCGAACAATGTGTCACGTGTTTCACGTGTTTACCTTATGTGAATAAGAATGTCTGGCATAGTTAGTCCTGTTATTCAATAAACACATAAATCATGACATTTTGATTTCACAGATCAGTCACCTGATTATTATTGATCAACATTTGTTTTGATTAGCTTTATTACAAATAAAGGTCTTTGATTAATTAATGAAAAGCGTTCTTCTTCCTTCTTCTGTCTTCTTTCCTGGAATGTAAACATTTAGAAACAAGCACCCGACCTTGTTCATTTACGCACCCTGTTACTGTGTGAAGGGGCCGCTTTTAAGGGCAGACAATAGGATATTCGTAACGCTACAGTGTGAAAAGTGGTCAGTGTATCCTCCAGCAGTCTAAACCTATAGCAGCATAACTACAGAGATAACTCAGGATAATCTATCCCATTAAGATGTAGGCATGTTGGAGGCAGGGCAAGGGAGAGCCGTCTTTACAGACTGTACACTCCACCTCCCTCTACTCCCCCACTTGTCCTGATTTAGGCTAACATCAGATTTTAACTATAGGCCCTATCAAATAAAACTGTTTTAAGCCTATTCTTAAAAGTAGACAAAGTGTCTGCCTCACGGACTAAGGCTGGGAGCTGGTTCCACAGGAGAGGAGCCTGATAACTAAAAGATCTGCCTCCCATCCTAATTTTAGATATTCTGGGAACCACCAGTAGACCTGCAGTCTGAGAGCGAAGTGCTCGGTTAGGAACGTATGGACCAATCAGATCACTGATGTATGATGGACCTTGATTATTAAGAGCTTTATATGTGAGAAGAAGGATCTTAAAATCTATTCTGAATTTAACAGGTAGCCAATGTAGGGAAGCTAAGACAGGAGAGATACGATCTCTCTTTTTAATTCTCATCAGAACTCTAGCTGCAGCATTTTGGACAAGCTGAAGACTTTTAACTACATTCTGTGGACTTCCTGAGAGTAATGAATTACAGTAAATTGAAGTAAAAAATGTAAAATCAGAATCAAGACTTGTTCCTGCTCTCCTGATTTACTGAATAATTTTTATGGGTTTTTTTTTTTTTGGTCATGAAAGTTAAGTTTTGCTGTGTTTATTGCTGACAATATGAAGGTTGGAGGTTTATCCTTATTTTCTGCATCTTGTAGGTTTTTTTCTCCGCAGGTCTGAAGGCTGTGCGTTACACAGAGCAGAGAGACAGAGAGCAAGAGACCAGAACCAATAGAAATGATCATATCACACCAATCTTAAAATATTTACATTGGCTTTCAGTAACTTACAGGATAGATTTCAAAGACCTTTTACTTACTTTTAAATCATTAAATGGCCAACGACCTCTGTATATAGCAGAGATGTTTGAAACATATCACCCTTCAAAATCACTTAGGTCAGCAGATAAATCCCAACTGGTACAACCCAGAGCCCGCACCAAGCACGGAGAGGCTGCCTTTAGCTGCTATGCGGTCCGTCTCTGGAACTGTCTTCCAGTAGACATTAAGACCTCTCCCACCATTTCCATTTTTAAATCCAGATTAAAAACTAAACTTTCTCATGATGCCTTCCATTAACCTGTCCTTGCATCTGTGCTCTACTAGGTCTTTATCTGTACTGTTAAATTTATTCTATATGTATTTTATATGTATACCTATTCTGTGTTTTATTGTGTATTATTGTGTAATTAAAGTGAATACTTGTAATAAAGTGTAGTTACTGTGTAAAGCAGTATATGCTAGGAATGATTAATAAAAATAAAAACTAGAATTGAACCTGAGTTACATGGTAATAACAGTTTAAGAACTCAGAAACAATACACTAACTTACTAAGTAATTACCATGTAAGTACTTTTTAGAGGACTGTAAAAGAAAGCGCTACCAATAATTGTACTTAATATGCTTTTATTTTTGTGTGCTATGTTCTGTGTCAATATTCTTTGATTTTATTTTACACAACATGATGTGACATTTTAACTATTTCATTTCACTTGTGATTGTTTTAAGTATGTGAAGCACATTGGGCTACCGTTTTGTGTATGAAATGGACTATATAATAAACTTGACTTGAGAGAGAGTTCACAATGTTTTGTTACTAAATGAGACACTCAGCTGAAACTGGGGGAAATATAAGATTAATGCACACAATTTAATTTAAGACAATTGCATGTGTGCGCACCGAATGTGTTTGTGCACATGGTTCACATGTGCGACCATCAAGAACAAAGTAGAAATTCAGCGAAAGAAAGCAAATTGACTACATATTAATTTGGTACAAGTGTGAACCTAGAGCCCCACGACTGTTATTATTTTAGGTACGGAGAGTGATCACGCTAGATCATACAATGGGCTGAGACAATGTCTTCCTCCAAACTTGAGTTTATTTACACACAATGCACAAAACAAGTTCTTCTGTATAAAAAAAGGAACAAGACAGTTAAAAACCCCAGAGGGGACTAATGACACCTTCTGCTGGAGGAGGGAGGCAAAACAACCAGGGCTGTGTAACATGCATTTACTTAATACTGTCATGTTTGGGGAAAGGCACCTAACCCAAGACATGCAGAACACAAGACCAAAAGATGGGAGGAAAAATAATTTGTTTATTTACAAAATAAAAGGAACTGAAGGTGCACTGAGTGTCAGTGGCAGGCACAGACACGGGAGCTCTGCGTCTGGAGGAGGGAGAACACTAGTATTTGCATGCAAGCCCAGAGGTCCATTTATGTCCTAGGTAGGTTCGAGGGACTTACGGTCAGGTAAGAGTAGCTGGCTGGAGGAGGGAGCAGGTCGAGAGCCGGGAAAAGCGTAGGAAAGGGAGCACAGGTGGAGGTGAGCAGAGCGTCCTGGTGGATGGGAGACACTGAGCCGAAAGGTCCGGTGAGTCATGGAGAACGGTGAGTGGGTCCTGGAGGTTCTGAGTTTCCAAACCCAGGAGTCCTGAGGTGAGTATCCAAAAAGGCTCAGCATCCAGAGGGAAACACTGGAATCCTGGAGGTGAGAGAAATCCTAAGTCAACTCCAGGAGGTAAGTAAAATCCAACAAGTCTAAATCCTAGAGCAAAACACTATCAAAGATCAATCCTAGAGATCCTAGCGAACATGCGTGGCTGGTATTACTTATTATACATATTTAATTACGTAAATGTGTATTTCATGTAAATTTGTACATACATCAATCTGATTCCATTTTACTTGTTACACTTCTGCTGCAGCAAACAAATTTCCCAGCTTTTGGGACAATTAAACATTTCTGATTCTCAATTAGATGTTTTTACCTCAAATGTAAAAACATCTGATTGAGAATCAGAAATGTTTTATTGTCCCAAAAACTGGGAAATATGACATTTGTAAGAGGATACTGATGACATTATTTCCTATAAAAGTGTTTCCTATGTACTTATCTGTTGTTTTTTATTTATCATATGACAGGTTTTTCACACCATCCTGAGCCATGCAAAAGAAGATTCTTGTCACCACACCCATGACCACAGCCGAATCAGAAAGGTGCTTTTCTACTTTAAAGAGGATTAAGACTTTCCTTGAGGAACACCATCACACAGGATGGGCTGAATGCTCTTGCCATGCTCTCCATGGAAAAAAAAGCTTGTCACAAACATTCCTGACTTCAATAAAAAGCTCATCGAGAGCTTTGCCACTCAGAAGGACAGAAGGGCAAAATTTCTGTACAAATGAGGTATCACACACACACAAATGCATCCACTTGATCTTTATATAAAGTTGACCTTGGCACAACACTCCAGAAATATTTAACAGTGTAAATTTCTGGCATTTTGTCTAAGTGGTGTTTACTACCATTACTGTAACAGTGACCTGCTCATAATTTTTGGTGTTCACTCAAATGTTGAAATTAAACAAAATGTTTTTGTTACTTGCCTCTATTTACCATTTATGGTCATGTTATTTTATGTGCAATTTAATGCAGTATTTTTCAACCTTGGTCTGCAAGGCAGCGTGCCAATAGTCAGACACACCTGGATTAATCAGTTTGTCCAATGATGTAAGACAGGAAATAAAAGAGCTGTGCTTAATTCAGGAAATAGTGAAGTTGTGCACAAAGCTCAGAAAGCGCAAGTTTGTTTAAAAATAAAAAATAGCACAGCCCCACCAAAAATATTTTTCACCAGCCGCCACTGATAAATAGTAATCAGTTAAAAGCTAAGCTAAAAAGGTGGGTCTTGAGCCTATTCTTAAAAGCCTGGATGTTCCCTTCGGACCTGAGGTCCTCCGGCAGCCCGTTCCAAAGGCGAGGGCCGTAATACTTGAAGGACGCCTCGCCGTGGGTGTGAGTCTTAACTTTAGGGATAACTAGGAGACGGCTGCCAGAGGAGCGCAGAGACCGCGAGGGTTTATACAGTAAAAGCAGTTCTGAAAGACAAGAAGGCCCAAGACCATTAAGACACTTAAAAACCATTAAAAGAACCTTAAAATCAATCCTGAAACATACGGGGAGCCAGTGCAGTGATTTTAAAACCGGAGTGAAGTGCTCCCGCTTCCTGGTCTTCATCAGGACACGTGCTGCTGAGTTTTGTAAAAGTTGTAAACCTGAGATGCTCTTTTTGGGAAGACCAGAAAGCAGGGCATTGCAGTAATCAATTCTACTGGTTACAAAAGCATGCACTAGCGTCTCCGTATTGGTCCGAGAGAGAATGGGGCAGACTCTGGCGATATTCTTAAGATGGTAAAAACCTATTTTTGTGATGTTTTTAATGTGGGGGATAAAAGTCAGCTCAGAGTCGAAAATAACACCCAGATTCTTCACTTGTAGTGATGGATAAAAAGACATTGACTGTAGTTTAGGTAAAAGTTTCTCTCTCTGGGCCTCAGGACCGATGACTAAAACTTCAGTTTTGCCCTGGTTGAGCTGGAGAAAGTTTTCAGTCATCCATGATTTAATATCTAAAATGCAATTAAAAAGTGTTTCCACTGGCTGCGCGTCATCAGGAGACACGGAGATGTACAACTGTGTATCATCAGCGTAACTGTGGAAATTCACCCCATGTCTCCTGACGACGCTGCCCAGAGGGAGCATATAGAGGTTAAAAAGTACTGGGCCTAGAATTGATCCCTGAGGCACCCCGCATGTGATGCTGTGGACCCCAGAGGAACAGGTATCCAGACTCACCATAAAAGTCCTGTCTGTGAGGTAGGAAGTAAACCAACTGTGAACAACACCAGAGAGGCCGATCTGTTTTAAACGGCCTCATTTTGTGGGGCAAAGTTTACTCTTTCCAGCTGGGTCACAGCTGGGTCGAGCTGTAACTTCCATCCACAGATTAAACCACCAGGAGCCGAATAGTCTACAATAACACCGTCTTCAATCTGACTGTTTATCTGTTGGCTGTTCCATCACGAGATGAAGGACCTTCAACTCTAATCAAATAATTTAATAAACTCTTTTATTATAAGGTTAACTATAATCATCATTAATGATCATCATGATTCATTATAAATGCATTTTTAACTAATGAAATGACTTATTATCCTTTGGTTATAATTATTATTTATGATAATCAGTAATGTGTGTTCAGTAACCAGAAGGTCTTTTGCACGTGTTTACACCTCATGCAGGACTCGCTTCAAGGTAACTGCCTCACATGTCTTCCATAGTCATGCTTCCTGTCTCTGAGAGGGCGTGTTCTGAGGTTTTGTTAAAACCAAAGCTCCACAGCTTAAGTTCAGTTCTTGAACCAAGCTGATACTTCTTCGTGGCAACGAGAGTATCCCAGAGGAGAAGGGTCGGCCGCCTGACTCCTCACTTAGCCTTCTGTCACACCGATAGAATAGCTCTGAATAAACGCACCTATAACCAGCTGACACTACGAGATTCCTTAAGAATCTGCCCGGATGCAAAGCCACATCTACCTGTGCACCTCACGGCAACTCTAGGACCAGAGAAAGTCGGTACCCTTGGTCATCTGCCGGACCTGAGTACCCCCGAGGCTGACAACATCCTCCAGACCTCCAGATCCACACAGAGGGTCGTCTGAACGGTGAGGTAGAACACAGATTGCGTCCGATGTTGTTCTCTCTAAGAAACCATCAGTTAGCTGCAAAACCAACGTTTCACCCAGAACGCGTTCTCCCTCTGAAAGAAAGCTTCTAAGATTTCATTCACGCATCCAAACCTCATCATTCCACTTAGTTTTCCATCCAGACACAGGGGTTGCTTTAATAACAAGTTTTAATATCAAAATTGTTGTTCAAATTTGTCATTTATAAATTGTTATTCATAAATTGTCAGATTTGAAATTGTTAGTAATAAATCCTTAAATTTTTAAACCTGACTCTTCCTTTAATGAAACACAGAATGGTGTGCATTTTCAGTTATTGAATCAGCAAAGAACCTTATTAAGTCTTCTGTTTAATAAACTTTTGCTATTAATTTAAATATCTTAAATTAAATATTAATCCGTAGATTAAATATAAACCAAGCTCGTTGGTGTATGAACTTCTATCGATTATATTAATATCCTAGATGTTTATATATGATAGAAGCTTCAGATGTTAACTTGTTTGTCTTTCTCAGAATCTAACAAAACTGATAGCAACAGCGTTAGTTCTAGTACGTAGATTAACCCTACACACGTGTGAACCATGTGCACAAACACATTCGGTGCAAACACACACGTGCACACATGCAGTTAAATGTCTTTAATTAAATTGTGTGCATTAATCTTATAGTACAAGCAGTAGAGTTGTTATCATCTGTAATATGTTTTAATGGTGGGCTGGTTTGATTAATATGTGTGATAGGCTGGCCGATCAACTGGTTGAGACGCCAACCAGTCCTGCTACATCTACATACAAACAGTCCAAAGAACTGGGTGTGAGCGTAGCCTCTGTGTGGCCCTCCACATACGGCTCCTTGAACACCCAGATGGTCTGTTACACATACGTTTCTGGTTCTGATCAAGCGGTCAAGCAGCCAACAATATTTACATACAAACAGTTCCAAGTCATTATATACGTCTGTGGTACCAAGAACTGGGTGTGAGTGTAGCCTCTTTGTGGTCCCCACAACATGATGAACACGAGCTTTAAAAACTCTGGACATCTCCTGTGATTTAGATTCATCATATATTTCCCCCAGTTTCAGCGGAGTGTCTCATTTAGTAACAAAACATGATTGTGAACTCTCTCTCAAGTCAAGTTTATTATATAGCCCATTTCATACACAAAACGGTAGCCCAATGTGCTTCACATAGTTAAAACAATCACAAGTGAAATGAAATAGTTAAAATGTCACATCATGTTGTGTAAAATAAAATCAAAGAATATTGACACAGAACATAGCACACAAAAATAAAAGCATATTAAGTACAATTATTGGTAGCGCTTTCTTTTACAGTCCTCTATTTACTTAGTACTTACATGGTAATTTCTTAGTAAGTTAGTATATTATTGTTTCTGAATTCTTAAATTGTTATTACTATGTAACTCAGGTTCAATTCTAGTTTTTATCTTTATTAATCATTCCTAGTATATACTGCTTTACACAGTAACTACACCGGGGTTTCCCTTACATAGGCGTTTCACGAGGAAGCAGCGGGAACTATAGTGTCGCTTGTGATCACAGCCGGCAGGCAGCAAGGAGGAGCAGGCAGGGCAGGGTGAAGTTACAGCATAAAGGTAGCAGTGGATATAATGCTTTTTGGTTTACATGTTTCAATAGCATTAAGATAAATGAGCGTTGACGATCTTGACAGGGTTTCCTCTCCCCACCAGGATAAGCATCACTTATTCATGTAAAATTTATTTTATTTTTTCATGTTTGACTTTCACCGCATCTAATACTGTATTACGGCGTGAGCGCAACAGCGACAACTTAAGATCGATGTGTGAGCAGCCTGAGAGGTCGGGTGTTTTCATCTGAACCCTTAAGACCTCCAGCAGGCTGCGCTGCACTATTGACATGTTAGCGCACAGCGCTAACAACTTAGCGACGTGACATATCTCGGAGAAAGTGTAAAAACACGTTGAATGCTTCTTCTGAAGCGGGAAAATAACACCTCTTCAAGCAGATCACGATGTCGCCACAGCTCGTTCACGGCCGAGCCGGACTGAGCTCGATAACATTGACCCAGCACAGCCACTGGGTCGTTGGAGCTGCCCCGTGACTGCCTAATGGAAAGCCAGCGGGTTTCATCAGACTCGTAAAGTTTCTTGTTTTTGCTGGGGACCCCCTGTATTTTACCGCTCCCTCCTGCAGTCTTCCCCTATTAACATTTAAAATGATGCTGTAAATTCCGTGTATCAATAGAAAAAATCTCTGCCTCTGCCAGCCGCAGTAAATGTAGTCTCCAAATAATAAATAAGAGGTGCATTCATCTGTGTATCTCCTTTGATCCGCATTAGTGATATTCTCAGCACCAGAACAGTGAAGCAAAGAAACAGATTCCTGAGTGTTATAATTTTATTTATTAGGTGCATCTAACCTGTTCTATTTTTCTCTGAAATGAGATCAAATCAGTGCTTCTATGGGTTGTCTCCACTCTCCACTAGAAAATTTTACTTTATTTAGAGACGTGCGGAGAAAAAAAACCTACAAGATGCAGAAAAAAGGAGAAACCTCCAACATTCATATTGTCAGCAATAAACGCAGCAAAACTTAACTTTCATGACCAAAAAAAAAACCCCATAAAAATTATTCAGTACATCAGGAGAGCAGGAACAAGTCTTATTTCTGATTTTACATTTTTTACTTCAATTCAAACTATTTAGACTTTTGTGTTTTCATCACATTTAGCTTGTATTTTATTTAACATATTGTTGGGTATTTTTATAATTGTACCTTTTTGAGGCCTAAACAGGGGTGGACCTTTAAAGCGCCCGAGCGCCAATGGCGCTAAATTTTCTCGTCGGGCGGTAAATACTTGACGACTTACCGCCCGGGTGGCGCCCAAGCTTTATTTATCATTTACACACCGGCTTTCACCTACATCATGGCCCCGCCCTGTAGAAAGCTGCCGTTTTCGTTTCGCTCGCGTGAACCTGCGCGCCTCTAGCCACGTACTGCACTTGTACGATTCGTGCACGTACTGCACGATTCTAGTTATTGTCACGTGAACTATAAGTTCACTATTAAAGACGAAGTGGAACCACGCTAGAAACACACAAGCACGCAGGAAGATCGCGCCACCACAGGGATGGGATTTCTTGATGAAATCTCCGGCAAAATGCTTTAAAACTGGTGAGAAGCGAGACAGTTCGAAACGGTATGAAGCAGAGAAGCGTGTGCGTAGGTGGAATGATTCTTGGCGGTTTAAAGAAGACGGGAGGCGCGGAGAATGGCCGTGTTCGAGTTGAGCAGCGCCTCGCCTGGAAAACAGACGAGAGCAGACGGAAGCAGCAGGGGGAGGGGCTGAAAGCCTGCGTTTCGCCGGGGACACACCGGCCGCGGAAGCGCCCGAAGCGAATCGCTCACGAAGTCCGGCCGCTGCTCGCCGCTCCTCAGTTCAGACGCGCCCCAGTCGAGGCGCGCCTCGGCTCAGCTGTAGTTTTTCTTTTAATTAGTTGGTGTCCTCCATTTCCTCAGCTCTTTTCCTCTACGTGTGTGTGTGTGTGAGAGAGAGAGAGAGAGAGAGAGAGAGAGAGAGAGAGAGAGAGAGAGAGAGAGAGAGAGAGAGAGAGAGAGAGAGAGAGAGAATGGTGTGAACCAGTTGTTTCTGCCAGTTAAATCTCTTGGATTTCCCTGCATGATGGATGAAGATATCGCGTTAGCATTCACACTTGTTCAATTTTAATTCTGGTGCCTGTTAGCAGCTAAAACACATCCTCACGTGCTTGTGGATATCATATATTCTATATGGAGACATGACTGTAATAATAAGTAAAGGTTATCAGCTGTAGCTTCAGTGGTGCTCATAGGAAACGTGACAAAAGAAAACAAAACACATTTCTCTTCATGGCCTATATAGTTGTCATCAACGTAACATGATTTACAGAATACATGTGACCAACTAACATTTCATGTTCTACCACCGGATGTTTGGATCAAAATATGAACCAATCAGATCTTAGATCAGGTGAGAGCCAGGCGTTTCCCATCATCCTCTAGGTTTTGCAGCTGAGGGAGAGCAACTGCAGCGCCTTGCTCAAAAATCTGCGGCCGCCTTGATCTCACGAGGTTATCGTTGCCTACGTATGCATGACGTCAGAGCAAGTCGGCATCAAGTCGGACACAAATCTAACCGGCATGCACTGCTCGCCGATCACCGCTGGTCTAATCTGCGCAGAACTGGCTCATCTCGAACGCGGCCAATGGCTCGAGTACAGCAAAGCGGAGTTGGTGATGTACTGCGTTGTATGCCGGAAGTATGCGACGACAAAATCGTGTTTTATTGAGGGAACAAACAAATTCAAACTTGAATCCGTTATTATGTTTGTGAATGTGTACAAAATAAAGGTTTATTACATTTAAAACAGTTCAGTTGTTATTTTGACTCGTTTTGGCTGCTGACCAGCGGGGCCGGTAGATTCTTGGTGGGGCCGGTAAATATTCAGACTTACCGGCCCGGCTGGACGGTTGGTTTTGAAGTTAATGTCCACCCCTGCCTAAAAGATGCCCATTTTGTGTTATTAACACTTCATGAATCTCTTGTGTTTGCCAACTGTGGCTGTTTATGAAAGGTTGAGCAGAGAAGCTTGTTTGCAGTCAAGGATGTTGATTTCCAGGATGTTGATTGTAGAGTTCCAAGGAAACCTCTGTACCTCTGTAACCTGAGAAGGCCCGCCTTCTCCTCCATCCTTTGTGAATAAAGCCCCTGGGAAACTGAGGAGATTTGGGAGTGACGGGGGAAAAGCCTCGGAGGAGGTTTTTCCCCGCGTTACCTCTCCATTATTTTGGGGACTCAGGGTAAAATGTCTTCCTTGTTGTCATGTGTGTTGATTTTAGGTTTCAGGGTTATGGAGATTAAATATCACTTAACATTTAATTACCTAACATTTGGTGGAGATGCCAGGGCATGCAGAGCTGGTGACCTGAAGGCTTTCCCCAGGAACAGAGGGGGGCTGGTTAGCACCATGGAGGGGTTTCTGCGCCCAGCTCTCGCATGACGATTCATGGACATTACAAATAATCTCTCTCTCTCTGTGTGTGTCGTCATTTAAGGTAATATGGGATAAATCTAAAATTACCTATCACATATCATCAGCTTTACAGGTTAGCTGTTCCTGTGCGCTTAAAAAGTTATGTTACCAACCTTCTAAAAAAATGATCAAATCATTCACATGAAGTAGATTTGTTATTCATTATCTGAAAGTATCCGATTAGTTTAAAAAACTAAATATGTTTTGTTTAATTTGGTTTTCAGAATGTCACTAGTTTACTTATATTTTTAAAATATATATACTGATGTACTGAAATACAGAGAAATCAACTTGCGAGTACAATGCATGCTAATATAGTAAGCATAGCATGTTTAACATAAGCACATTCACACATGGAAAGTATCAATGTAAATAAATCATATGACAGTAACTCTGCTGTACTTTCATTGTGTAAAAGTAGCTCACGGGCCAAAAAAGGTTGGAGACCCCTGCAATAGATCATTCAGCCATAGTGGATGCTTAGATGATTGTTTAAAGTTTTCTTTCAGCGAAATCTTCGTCCACAGAGCTCACAAGCAAAAGGCTTCTGTCCTTTATGGACTCTTCTGTGACCGTTTAAACTGATCTTTTGGGTGAATCTTTTCCACCGAACTCACAGGCAAAAAGCCAGTGTGAACTCTCATGTGTCTGTTTAAATTTCCCTTTTCACTAAATCTATTACCACAGAGCTCACAGGGGTAAGGCTTCTCTCCAGTGTGGACTCTCATGTGTGTGTTTAAATAGGACTTTCGGCTAAATCTTTTTACACAGAGCTCACAAGCAAAAGGCTTCTGTCCAGTGTGGACTCTCATGTGACTGTTTAAAGTTGTCTTTAAGCTAAATTTCTTTCCACAAAGCTCACAAGGAAAGGGCTTCTCTCCTGTGTGGACTTTCATGTGACTGTTTAAAGTTGTCTTTTGGCTAAATCTCGTTCCACAGAGCTCACAAGAAAAGGGCTTCTCTCTAGTGTGGACTCTCATGTGACTGTTTAAAGTTGTCTTTTGGCTAAATCTTTTTACACAGAGCTCACAAGCAAAAGGCTTCTGTCCAGTGTGGACTCTCATATGTTTGTTTAAATGCGTCTTTTGGCTAAATCTCGTTCCACAGAGCTCACAAGGAAAGGGCTTATCTCCTGTGTGGACTCTCATGTGTTTGTTTAAAGTTGTCTTTTGGCTAAATCTTTTTACACAGAGCTCACAAGGAAAGGGCTTATCTCCAGTGTGGACTCTCATGTGTGTGTTTAAACTTCCCTTTTCACTAAATATATTACCACAGAGCTCACAGGCGAAAGGCTTCTCTCCAGTGTGGACTCTCATGTGTTTGTTTAAATTTCCCTTTTCACTAAATCTATTACCACAGAGCTCACAGGCGAAAGGCTTCTCTCCAGTGTGGACGCTCATGTGTCGGTTTAAATTTGACTTTAAGCTAAATTTCTTTCCACAGAGCTCACAAGGAAAGGGCTTATCTCCTGTGTTGACGCTCATGTGTCTGGTTAAATTAGTCTTTTGGTGAAACCTTTGTCCACAGTGCTCACAGGCAAAATGTTTCTGCTTTGTCTGGACTCTCGTGTGTTTGTTTAAATGTGTTTTTTGGCTAAAGGATTTAAACCTGGCAGCATCAGTCTCCATATTCAAATGGAGATGCTCTCCCTCCATACTAGACAAGAGTCTCTCCTGTTCCTCCTTTTTGTGGAGAAAATCTAGGTGCTGGTGGTTGACACGAGCACTCTGTTCTTCTGAAGCTTCTTATTTAACCAGAACCATCTGTTGAAAATCTGTAGGAAACACAGAAACATATTATGTGAATGACAGACAGCTGTAACTGTGTTTTCACACATATAACAGTTGTATTATTTCTTTAAACTGACAGTAGAATGAAAAGTATTTACAACTGGAAACTGAACTTTGAGCCTCTATAAATCATATGAGCCTTAAACCTCAGGCTTCACTTTAATTTTCATACAAGAGTCATTAGAGGACAAAAACGTCCACTTGTAAAAGTGGCTATAAAAAATGTATACATTGTTTTTTTTTACTTTTTTTTCATAGATCTGTTGAACAACTTCAGCCCTGCTCAAACATAAAAAAATTCAATCATTTTGAAGCTTTTAACCCCTGAAATGCCCGTTTGAATACTCAAAGGTCATTGATGTAATTTATGAAAAAAAGAAAAGAAAAAAAAACAGCACCGAGTTCTTTTCTAAAAAAACAGGTAACGAAACCGTTCCTGTGTTTTAAAAAGAACGACAGCATGGAATCAGCCTTGGATATGTCAAGAGTCTAGCAAAATATCACATTTTATGCTTTTTTAGTTTTTGTGTAGCAGCAGATTTAAAATTTACCACCCTCTTGTGCCTGTTATGGAGAAAAACGTCCCATTGACTTCAATGCAAACCACAGTTTTTGATCCTGCATTATCTGCAGCAAATATTCATGCTTTCTGTGATGTAATGATTTCATTTTGGACAAAAGTAGTCAAATTTATGATTTTTACTGTTCACCACCAAATTCAGTCATTTCTTCATATGTTGCCCAGGCGAGAAAGTTTACACATTTCTATAGATCTTCTGCTGTTTTTATTGAAGTCAGAAGCTCAGCATGTAAACAAAACACGGTTTCACTCTCCTACTGAACATCAAAGGGTAGAAAACAAAAACAATATGTTTATGCACCTGGCTGGAGCTCAGGCACATCCAAACTCTTTGTAGTTCAGTTTGTTATGAAAGGGCAGAAGTGTGAATGCATGCATGTGAAGTGACTCCTTGGAGCTCTTCGGTCATCTCCAAAATGACACGTTTTCCCTGGCCGACCTCTGCAGCCTCACCAGCAGCTTTCCCTGTGTTAACCTGACACTTGCAGGCATAGGAAGTGGCAACATCAGCAGTGACTCAGAGTTTCAATCCGTACTTTGCTGGTTTACTTGGCATATGTTGGCGAAACTGCCTCTGAAAGGGACAAGCTGCTCATCTGCACACACATCTAACCCAGTGTTGAAAAGAATTTGGAGGCGATGGGTCCACATGTCCCAAATCGAGCGAATAGGGGCCAGCTTGTCCTGCCTGAGACGGGAAGGCCTGTTCAGCTCATCATCAAACCGGAGGGTGGAGTTGATCATCTTGAATTTGGTGTGACTCATGGTGGCCAGGAAGATTGCACGTCCACAGTGGTCATCCCAAAGGCTGCAGGTGGATTCCCCTTTGGACTGGTACACACCAGCCAAAATCAGGAGCCCAATGTATGCTCTCACTGCGATGTCATCAATATCCCACCAGTTCTTCACCACACGTCTTCCATTTAGATTTGTCATGTTGACGATGATTTCAGTCATTTCTGGAGTAAAGAATAAATCAAAGGAGGATACCACATCGTAAATGTGTGTGATGGTGTAATGTGTTGGCCCAGGATTCAAACATCTTGCAGCAGGAACATAGTGGGAAGTTTCTGCGTTAGTAGGAAACCAGACTTGTCCACTTTCAGAAATCCATCCTGGAATCAAAACCTGTGGTTTGCATTAAAGTCAATGGGACGTTTTTGTCCTCTAATGGCTCGAGTGTATAGTACATTTTAAATCTGTTGCTATGTAAAAACTATAAATGCAAAAAATTCTCAAGTTTAGATATTTCATAACATACAGGTGCTGGCCAGTAAATTAGAATATCATCAAAAGGTTGAAAATATTTCAGTAATTCCATTCAAAACGTGAAACTTGTACATTATATTCATGCAATGCACACAGACCAATGTATTTCCAATGTTCATTACATTTAAATTTGATATTCATAAGTGACAACTAATGAAAACTCCAAATTTGGTATCTCAAAAAATTAGAATATTCTGAAAAGGCTGAATATAGAAGACACCTGCTGCCACTCTAATCAGCTGATTTACTCAAAACACCTGCAAAGGCCTTTAAAAGGTCCCTCAGTCTTGTTTTGAAGGCACCACAATCATGGGGAAGACTTCTGACTTAACAGCTGTCCAAAAGACAATCATTGACACCTTGCACAAGGAGGGCAAGACACAAAAGGTGATTGCTAAAGAAGCTGGCTGTTCGCAGAGCTCTGTGTCCAAGCACATTAACAGACAGGCGAAGGGACGGAAAAAATGTGGTAGAAAAAAGTGTACAAGCTCTAGGGATAACCGCACCCTGCAGAGAATTGTGACGACAAACCCATTCAAAAATGTGGGGGAGATCCACAAAGAGTGGACTGCAGCTGGAGTCAGCGCTTCAAGAACCACCACGAGGAGACTCATGAAAGACATGGGATTCAGGTGTCGCATTCCGTGTGTCAAGCCACTCTTGAACAAGAAACAGCGCAAGAAGCGTCTCGCCTGGGCCAAGGACAAAAAGGACTGGACTGATGCTGAGTGGTCCAAAGTTATGTTTTCTGATGAAAGCAAGTTCTGCATTTCCTTTGGAAATCAAGGACCCAGAGTCTGGAGGAAGAGCGGAGAAGCACAGAATCCACGTTGCATGAGGTCCAGTGTAAAGTTTCCACCGTCAGTGATGGTGTGGGGTGCCATGTCATCTGCCGGTGTTGGCCCACTCTGTTTCCTGAGGTCCAGGGTCAATGCAGCCGTCTACCAGGAAGTTTTAGAGCACTTCATGCTTCCTGCTGCTGACCAACTTTATGGGGATGCAGACTTCACCTTTCAACAGGACTTGGCACCTGCACACAGTGCCAAAACCACCAGCACCTGGTTCAAGGACCATGGTATCCCTGTCCTTGATTGGCCAGCAAACTCGCCTGACCTTAACCCCATAGAAAATCTATGGGGTATTGTGAAGCGGAGGATGCAATACGCTAGACCCAACAATGCAGAGGAGCTGAAGACGACTATCAGAGCAACCTGGGCTCTCATAACACCTGAGCAGTGCCACAGACTGATCGAGTCCATGCCACGCCGCATTACTGCAGTTATTGAGGCAAAAGGAGCCCCGACTAAGTATTGAGTGCTATACATGCACATTCTTTTCATGTTCATTCTTTTCAGTTGGCCAACATTAGAGAAACAAACATTTTTTCATTGGCCTTTAGAATATTCTAATTTTCTGAGATACCAGATTTGATGTTTTCATTGGTTGTCACCTATAAATATCAAAATTAAACGTAATAAACATCGGAAATACATTGGTCTGTGTGCATTGCATGAATATAATGTACAAGTTTCACGTTTTGAATGGAATTACTGAAATATTTTCAACCTTTTGATGATATTCTAATTTACTGGCCAGCACCTGTAATCAAGACTGATTTGTACTAAACACCCCAGGCAAAAAAAAAGTCTTTTCTAGAAAATAACTCAGTTTTAGTGGGTTTTTTTTCATGAATCGGGGTGATGTGGGTGTGTTTGGAGGACTTGGTCAGAAGCCGAGCACAGGCGTTCTGAACCACCTGTAGACGGTTCAGGGAGGTTCTGCTCAGACACGTGAAAAGAAAGTTACAGTAGTCTAAGCGTGAGGAGATGAAGGTGTGGAGAACTGTCTCAAGTTCAGAGCGGGACAGAATGGGACTCAGCTGTAAGGGAAAAATGAGGTTCTTACATTTTAATTAATGAGCCGTAAGGCGTGGGATTCCATAGGAAATATGAAATCCGCCTCATGGATCGGGGTTGGTTAAACCAGAAGATCGGGTCTTTTTAATGCAGAGATCATGTAACCGTTATGTATTCACTCAGAGACAACAGAATAGAACGAGTCAAGTTTAAAAGTTAAGAAATTTTATTACTAACAATTAAACTAGGCTTATTTAAGAACTAAGTGTATAGTGCGACTAAAAATGGATGAGGCGGTGAATGGATGACGTGTCATGTAAATCAGAACCCGCAAATCCGAAGAAGCGATTAGCTCTGACGGGAACTGAAGATGTTGGTTTGGAATAAGCTGGGGTTTGTTTCAGAACTGCATGAGACACCATTAAGCCGCGCCTACCTGCCTGGTGGAAGTCCTCTGTGAGATCAGGAATGCCGAGGTCCACCCGGACCCTCTCTGGACACCGAGCTGGTAGCAGAGCTGCGGTTCCGACCAGACCCGTCTCGAGATACTGCCGGCACACGACTCTTGTCTTGGCGTCTGTTCAGACCCAGCCTGGGTCAGTGGAGCTCTTATTCTGAAAGGAGCTGTTGTCGTTGCTTGTTGTTATAGCGACTGGATTTTCTCAGCTTGTCGTGGTTCTTTCGGTTGAAGAGTTAAAGTTCAGGATTGGCCACTCCGTCACTTTGCTCTGGAACGCTTTGAACTGCATTAGAGCTGACGTGGCATCTGTTTTATACCTCGGATGTTTTGGTTTATTGTTGAATGAAAATTACCAAACACCGTCAGAAGCACGCCTCCGTCAGATCTGTAAGGTTCTGATTGGATCAGTGAAAAAATGTGTCAAGTCCTTTTAACACTACGTGAAATGAGTCCTGTTGAACCATTTAAAGTTACATTACTTCATTTCTAAGATCATAATAAAATAATTAATATTTTAATTTCACAGGTCGGTCACATCTTGTTATATTGACTAACACTTTGATGGATTAGCTTTATTAAAATAGAGTTCTTTGATTAATCAAAAGGAAAGAATTCATTCTTCTTTCTTCTGTCTTCATGCTGGAATGTAAACAGTTTAGAAACGACTGTATGACCTTCAGGCTGTTTCAGACACACTGACACTGTGTCAAAAGGAAACAGCTGTTAGGGTAGAAATGGCTCCTTCATCACGTTACACAGCTTAGCAACGTTCCTGAGATGGAAGAAGGAAGAGCCAACAAGAGAACTGGCATGAGAATCCAGGGTGAGAGCTGGGTCAAAGGCCACGCCAAGATTCCTGACAGAGGGTTTGGTGTGAGAAGCAAGCTGACCAAGAGAGTCTCTGACTTTGGGAACCAGCTTCTCTGGGGCACAGATGAAGATCTCAGTCTTATCTTCATTCAGCTGTAGAAAGCTCCCACCATCCAGGTTTTAATGGAGTCTAAGCAGGAGAGTAACAGCTGCAGCGTAGACATCTCATGGGGCTTAAAGGAGATGTACAGTTGGATGTCATCCGTGTGAAGACGCTAGGAGACTCCTTTAAATGAGCTCAGCAGGTGCTGTAAAGGAAGCAGATAGAGCAGGGCCGTGCAGAGACCTTTGAAGGGGCGGGTGCTCAAAGTTAAAAAAGGGGCACATATACAGGGTTTCCCTGTATTCAAATTTGCGTGGCGGCCGCCTCCAGCTATTTTTGTGCCGCCCCAGCCTGATTTCACTCTGCCCCCAGCTATATGGATGTTACTGTAACTGCAGTTGCAGCGTTGCGCCACTACAGGGCGCTGTACCAGCAGCGGTGCACCGAAAAGCGCTAAAACCGCTGCAGAAAAAGATCAAAATGTGCTTTTCTCGCTAGTTGGTACATACCTATGGTTGGTGCTATTAACGTCCTGATTTTCCCCCAGCTCTTCCATATCGGAGCAGGGCTGTAACTGTCTGTGCGTGTCTGTCTATTTTTAAACGTAGCACGGGTGCAACATCTTTGAATTACTATTTTCCCCAGAACTTTATTGAACAAAAGTAAGTTACGTGTAAGAAAATGCTTTTTACTGGCGCACAGTGTGGTCATCTGGATGCAGTGGAGGAAAATAAAGGAACCAACAAAGGCACAAAGGCAGAACCGGTCCAGACTTTGGGATCAAAAGTGCAGCTACACGCAGATTAGCTAATGCTAAAGCTAACAGGTAGCAGTCTCGCGATCAAGTGGCGCACAGAAAAATATATGATGATGATGATCATAAAACTATGAAAGACTAAATTCTACAAGCGGATGAAAAGTCCCCACCATCCTGTTTATTCTGCATCCTGCAGCACTACGGATCAGAACCGCTGCAGATACGGGTCACAATACAGCTACAAGGCTAAGGCAAGCCATTGTGGTATATAATTCACAAAGGCTTCCATCTTTGAACATAATTTGAACTGGATTATTGCTAACCCGTACATAATAGACATGCCACCATTACATTGTTAGCAGCAGAAATTAAATGTTATTACCATTTCCAACACAAGTGCATGTTAATGAAATGCATTATATTTTACTGCATATATTTATGTGTTATTATGACTAAGATGAGTGTTATTAATACAAACCTAAAATGTTACTGAAATGTAGGTCAAATATATAAAAATATTTTAACTATAAATATCAGATGGGAAAAAGGAACTAAACACCAATCTGATGCATATTATTGAGCCTTTCATAATAAGAGTCTGTTATTTCAGCCTGATAAGTTTGTTGTTTTATTTCATATTTTTTAGCAGCAAACCAGTTTTGTTTCACTTGAAACGTTGTCAAATGGAATATTCTATTAATCGCCAGAAGCTTAGATTAGAACACTTAACGAAAACATATTTGGCCTTTAAAAAAGTGAGGCAGTTGAATGCACAGAGTACGCATGTGCTGGCGCATAGGGATGGGTACCTTTGACATTTGAATCGATCCGGTACTAATTCCCGGTACCTACGAGTCGATACCGGTACTTAACGGTACCAGTTTTCGATACTTTTGAGTGTTTAATATTTTTAATTCTCATTTATAATTTAGTATATATTTTTCTTAATTTATAACCATATTTGAAAAATATCACGATAAATAACATTCAACTGTTTGTATTTTAACATCATCCTTGTAGTTTTATAAGCTGATAATTAAACTGAAGCAAACATCTTTACTGTGAACTAAATTTACTGTGTATCTTCATTCCTTTTGCCGTCTTTTTTCATTTGATTTTTCCTACTGGGAAGTTAGAATTTCCGAGGAGAAAGCGAACGCACCATTAGCTGATAACAACGGTGGCAATGGAAGCTAACATATCAAGCTAACGTTATCTTAAACAGTTTATTTAGCTGCTGGAGCAGATTAAAACGATGAAGCCTCACACTTACATCGTTGTCGCTGGTTTCATCTTCACCCAATCACCCGTCGCATTTAGTAAAGTGAAGCCAAACTTTAGAGCGCGTTCATGTTCTTCTAGTCGGAAATTCGGAAATCCGAGGAGAAAGCAAACTTAAACATTTTATTTACCTACCGGAGCAGATTAAGAAGAGGATGTCTCACTTAGATCGTTGTCTGTCGCTGGTTTCATCACCCAGTTACCCATCACATTTAGTGAAGTGGACCCAAGCTTTAGCGTGCGTTCTTTCTACCATGCTGCTCTGTTTACAACTCGCTCGCAGGGACCGACGACATAACGCTCTTGCGCATGCGCAGCTGTCTTGGCAAGTTCTCGTTAAGAAGGACGGGTACCGAAACGAGGCACCGTTTGAAATGACGTGAATCGGTGCTCGGTAAGTACTATGGAATTCGGTCGGTACCTTAAAAAGTACCGAATTCGGTACTCATCCCTACTGGCGCACGGTCAGGATGGTACCACCTCTGCCTCAGTCTGAGCCAGGAAAAACCCTGATATAGAGCAAAGTTTTTAAACAGATTCATGATCCAACAAGTTAAAAAGTTCAGATAATGAGACCCTTGGTTTCAAACAACATAATGTAAACTAGGAAAATATGTCATTAATTAAGGTAACGTTATTTCATAAACAGTTGTCAGGGTTTCCCTTACATAGGCGTAGCCGTGGCGGCCCGCCATGTCTGAAATCCCACCGCCACGCCTACAAGATCCCAAGTTTTATTTATTTATTTTTTAGCTGTTTTCCGAGGAAGCAGCAGGAACTACTATGTTGTCGCTTGTGATCACAGCCGGCGGGCAGCAAGGAGGAGCAGGCAGGGCAGGGTGAAGTTACAGCATAAAGGTAGCAGTGGATATAATGCTTTTTGGTTTACATGTTTCAATAGCATTAAGATAAATGAGCGTTGACGATCTTGACAGGGTTTCCTCTCCCCACCAGGATAAGCATCACTTATTCATGTAAAATTTATTTATTTTTTCATGTCTGACTTTAACCGCATCTAATACTGTATTACGGCGTGAGCGCAACAGCGACAACTTAAGATCGATGTGTGAGCAGCCTGAGAGGTCGGGTGTTTCATCTGAACCCTTAAAACCTCCAGCAGGCTACGCTGCACTATTGACGTGTTAGCGCGCAGCGCTAACAACTTAGCGACGTGACATGTCTCTGAGAAAGCGTAAAAACACGTTGAACGCTTCTTCTGAAGCGGGAAAATAACACCTCTTCTTAAGCAGAGCACGACGTCGCCTCGACTGAGCTCGATAACATTGACCCAGCACAGCCACTGGGTCGTTGGAGCTGCCCCGTGACTGCCTGATGGAAAACCAGCGGGTTTCATTAGACTCGTAAAGTTTGTTTTTGCTGGGGACCCCTGTATTTTACCGCTCCCTCCTGCAGTCTTCCCCTATTAACATTTAAAATGATTCTGTAAATTCGTGTATCAATAGAAAAAATCTCTGCCTCTGCCAGCTGCAGTAAATGTAGTCTCCAAATAATAAATAAGAGGTGCATTCATCTGTGGATCTCCTTTGATCCGCATTAGTGATATTCTCAGCACCAGAACAGTGAAGCAAAGAAACAGATTCCTGAGTTTGTTAGTAATTTTATTTATTAGGTGCATCTAACCTGTTCTATTTTTCTCTGAAATGAGATCAAATCAGTGCTTCTATGGGTTGTCTCCTCTCTGCACTAGAAAATTTTACTTTATTTAGAGACGTGTCATAATTTCAGAGTGCTCTTAAAGCTGCAGTTTGACTTGCTCTCATGTTTCCATAAGACCACCACCCACTCGACTAGGACATTAAATTCACTGAGCTGCATGCTGACTTAGCGACTGCTCTCTGGAGTCACATGTGGAGGCTGTAGTAAGCATTTTGTTTTTGTCTTTAGCGCTGCAGACCATTTATTGCAGCACGGATATACTGAACAGTTTCACAACTTTTAAATCAAAAAGATAATCAGTCCATCGCCATTCTCCTTCCCGGCACCTCCGTTCTGCTGACTCCAACCTCCTTTCCCCTTTCAGAACAAAACATGGCACCATGGGGGATCGAGCCTTTGCAGCCGCTGCCCCCACACTTTGGAACTCTCTCCCACTAAACATCAGGAACGCCGTCTCTCTTTCTACTTTTAAGTCACTGCTTAAAACCCACTTCTTTAAATTGGCCTTCTCTTAAGATCAACCCAGCATCCCCCAGTCTGTTTACTATGTTTCATGTTGTTTTATTATGTGTTTATTGCATTTTTTGTGAAGCCTGACTGACCTAAAAAGTGCTAGACAAGTTTAATGTATTATTATTATTATTATTATTATTATTATCACTTACAACCGCAGAAGGCAAAGTGTGTCCCCACTCCCTGTTCAGCCATTTTCCTGCACCAGATCTGGCGTTTACAGATGTTTCACACCTGTGTGAATAACACAGCTGTCTAAGAGAAAAACCACTTCTCCAACTCATTTACTTATTTACATATCTGAAAGGTGGCAGCCCTACCTGTGTCCATGCTGTCCAGGTCCAGGTGGTGAAGAACACACGATGAATCAGTCCCAGCTGATGGATGATCCTGAAGTGGTAGCAGGTTTTCTTTAGCCGTGTTTAGCTAACAGCTGCAATAGAAACAAAGCAGGAGAGCTGATTAAGATGCTGCTTCAGAACAACGCAGGAGGCGCTCCGCACACGCACAGCGCGTAGGGCACCACGCCAGGGGAGGGGCACCAAATGCAAGCTTGTGAAAAAATAATATGTATATGATAAAGACGGATTTCAATTAGAAGATGTGCAAAGCAAGTTAACAGCATGTTTACAGAGAGAAAACAATACAAACAGGAAAGGAGATGGACCGTGTCCCCCCCCCCCCCGCAGACACCTGCGGAGGATGCAGCGGGCACAGTCATGGCTCCGAAAAGGCTGCAGGAGTCTGGGGCAGTAAAGAGACAAAAGAAAAAACAGCGGGATGATGCTATTGGTTCGATTGCAGATAAGAAGTTTTTTAATGGAAATTCTTAATTTTTTTTATCTTTTTCTAATTTTAAACACGGGTGTGGTGAAGTTCAGAGGGTCGTTTGACCTAGCTTAAATTCTGACTTTTTACTGCTGTTAATTAATCTGTTTTTGGTCAAATTTACCGAGTTTGGTAAGCATGCTGCTTTTCAGGACTTTTATTTGGTGTTTTTTGCACTCTGCTTCCGTACATTTAACATTTTGACTCTATCTGCGTGGTTTGGGCAGATTTCGTTCTCTGCTTCTCCAGTCTGTTAAAAGTATAATGCGCCACTCTGTCCCGCAGCCTCCCGTCCGCCTACCGGGCGTTCGTTAGTAGCTGAGTGAGAGAGGCTGAGAGGGAGAGAAACTCAAGAGAAGCTTTAGAGCTTTTTTACTGCTGGAGAAAAAAAACGTAGCAAGTCATCATCTTCCTAAATGCAGTTATTCTCTTCTGAATCAGCACTTCTTTAAAGAAGAAGAAATAGTTAAATGCAACAATGGGAAATCAGTCTGTTCATGCGACTTGTATCAACAAATAAGTCTGAACAGTGTTAAAGGCTGTTTATCTAAAAATACACCTGGAAGAGTTTGAAGATTATTTTGTTTTAATAAGTTCATCTTAAAACATCTTTCTCAAGTAAAATAAAGTTTCCCCTGTGAGGTCAGATAGGCCCATCTGTGCTGTTTTGTAACAGAAATAAACAAATGAATCATATTTGTCCACCCAAATACTTAAATATCACAACAACAGGAAGGACAAAAACACCGTCAAGGTAAAGTAAGAAGTGTTATTTTTAAATAAGCGGCTGTTTGTGATTAATCATGATTTAACTGTGGACATGATTTATATAATTATTAAAAAGCCTATGTGGCCTATAGGCTATGTAACTGAGATTTAATATGAAAAGTTTGACAAAACCTATTTTCAAATGAGGTATTTGCTCTATGTTGATATATATTTCATAAACATTTACGGGCCAAGAGGAACATCAGCTGCTGATGGTATAATTTGAAGAAAAAAGTCCGTTATGCTAACCTCCTCCCTTCATATTCAGAATTTTCTAGTTGTGTATAAAATGTGTATATTGTGCCTCTCTAGTTCTTAATAAAGGTTAAATAATTTTGAGTTTAGTCATGTCACATGCCAGTGATTTATAAGCCAATATTAACCTATAAATAATCTATTGCAGTATTTTTACCATGGTTTAAATCTTTTATCTTATTATAGAATGAATATGACAAATTATCTTTTTGTGTCTGAATGCAGGCTCAATGAACAAGTACATTCAAGGAGGAGCTCACGCCAAAAGTTCCCCAGACAGCAGCTGACTCCTGTCTGGATCCGGATCCAGACCGGTACATCCGCGTTTCAGTCACATCCGCTTTATGACTCCTGTCTGGATCCGGATCCAGACCGGGACATCCGCGTTCAGTCACATCCGTTCTATGATTCCGACATGGAGCCTGACTGGATGCTGTCTTCAGGAGGCAGCGCGTTTGCGGATGCAGATCGATGCGGTGGGAGGTGACCCAGTTGCGCGCGCATATTTTGCCGACCGCAATAAAGAGAAGGAATTCAGATCAGGTAACACAAAGCGGATAACAAAGGACGAAGCAACGACGTTGGGTTTACAAATCTTTTTCGGTAAGTTACATGTTTTTGAGGGTAACAAGTTTTCTTTTTCCGATAGACAAAGTGTATTTACACTTTTAAAACGTAACCTCTGTTTAACTGAGCACTCTGAGAGATGCAGATGCTACAGCAACATGCTAACCATAGTTGCAGTACTGTATCGGGAACTTTTGCTTTTGTTTGGGTTTCCAGGCGATTAACGATTGTGTATGCAAAGCTGAAAGCATAAAGGCCTTATAAAGCGCTCAAAAATCAATCTTATTCGAAGTAAACAAAGTGCTAAGATAAACCTTTAGAGCTAGGGGGTGAATGATAATTCCACATCACTAGCTACGTGTTAACGAGTGTACAATTTTCTCCAATATTCCACATAAAGGGCTCTAAAACAAATTAATCATTTTATCAAGGATATTTTAGGTGGCCTTAAGGATAAGATATGGGGTGGGGCGCTGGGAGGTTTCACACACACACACACACACACACACACACACACACACACACACACACACACACAATTTAAACAGGATCGACGTTGGGGGTTGTGAGTGAAAATGTTAATTTTGGCGCCTGTTTGCCTGCTCTTTGTTCTGAGATGACCAGTTGGAGTAGAATCAAACCACTGTCTCTTACAACATACAAAAACCCATTTCTTCTTTATTTCAGGTTTTGTCAGAAATAACAGCCCTTTACAGTGGACCAAGAACTATCACCAAGGCATTAAGGTAAGTTTTAGATGATGAACCCTAAACCAAAGTGCTAAGATAAACTTTTAGAGCTAGGGGGTGTCTTTGAATGACAAATACATTTTCCACATCACTACGTGTTAAATATGAGTGCAGAAATTTCTCCAATATTCTACATAAAGGGCTCTAAACACATTAATCATTTTATCAAGGATATTTTTGGTGGCCTTAAGGATAAGATATGGGGTGGGGCGCTGGGAAGTTTCACGCACACAGGTAAACTGGATGTAGGGGGTTGTGAGTGAAGATGAGATTTTTTGACAATCTTTAACACTGATTTTATTTATTAATTTAGTCATAGCATTTAACAGGGCACGACTATCATAGAATTGAACAGGGCACAACTAGGCACTTACGATGGTGATAATGAGTTTAAAAGCCTTTATTAATCCATTTAGTCAAATAAAATAAGGTAGTGTCAGCTGAACTGACAAGGCCACAAATGTTATGGTCGTCTCACTGTGTGTAATCAATTTCAGCTGGGTAACATAGCTTCATTGTATAGATCCAAAATTACCTTTCTGTAGGAGGAGGAGTGGAGAAATGAATTTATCTCCTTTTCTGTAGATCCCATATTTTCTCTTAACACACACAGCTGAAATTACACAAGGAAGTGAGCTCACTAGCTAGTTAAATTCTTGTTAGCACTGGACAAATTCAGTTAACACTATAGGAACAATTAATCTATTTTTTTCCCCTGAACCATCTCTTTTAGATGAATAGGAAAACTTTGCCTGTCTGCAGATCCACCCTACGACGAAGGACACGCATAGATGTTGAAAAACGACTTCAGCAGATTAGGGATGACAACGCTGAGTTGGCTGGCTTTCAGTTAACAGAGAGTGACATTGGACATGATAGTGGACAGTTTTTAGAAATAGGTTCAAGTTCACTTCAGTCAGCTTGTGCAGTCTCAGAACCTGTAGTGTATTTTGCTGAAAGTATCATGGAAGTAAATACTGATGTGTCTGAGACGCTTGTGGTTGGTGACTGTGATGATCAGGCCCAGTCATCAGATTCAGAACATTCTGACGAGGATGACTTAGAGACATTTTCCTTGTCTGACAACATTGCCAACTGGGCCATACATTTTGGCATTTCTTTGGTTGCTTTGACGGCACTTTTGGGCATACTTAGAATGTGTCATCCTGAGCTTCCCAAGGATGGTAGGACACTGCTTAGGACTAAAACCAAATACTCAATTCTGGAAAGGGCAGGTGGACAGTACCACTATTTTGGTATTCTGTCGTCACTCAGAAGAACATTGTCTATGTACATACATAAACTTGCAGACGATTTCACATTAAAATTGCAAATAAATATAGACGGACTCCCTTTGTTTAAAAGCTCTAGTTTGCAACTGTGGCCCATTCTGGGACTACTAAGTGTTCCCATGAAAGAACCTGTAGTTATAGGTTTGTACTGTGGAACATCAAAACCCAGCTCAGCCAAAGAGTTTCTGGAAGAATTTGTTACAGAGTTAAAAGGGCTTGAACAAGGTTTTGATTTTGAGGGTAAGAATTTGAAGCTCAAGCTTGACACCATCATTTGTGACACACCAGCCAGGTCCTTTGTTAAAAACACCAAGAACCACAATGCCTACCACGGTTGTGACAAATGTGCACAACCAGGAAAATACATAAACAGACGCATGACATATCCATGCACAGACTTTGTTTTAAGAACAGACAATTCATTTGAAACCAAGGCCGATGATGATCATCATCATAGCGGTCCACATCCATTTCATGGCAGCAGTGTTGGCATGGTGTCGCAGTTTCCTCTGGATTACATGCATGTAGTTTGCTTAGGTGTTGTTCGGCGAATGCTAAATATCTGGTTGCGGGGTCCCTTGAATGTCAGAGTACCAGCAAATGTAGTGGAAATGATGTCAGCTAAACTGTTAGAAATAGGGCTGCAACAACGAATCGATAAATTCGATGAAAATCGATTACTAAAAGCGTTGGCAACGAATTGCTTCATCGATTCGTTGTGTCGCACAACTCTTCCAAAAGCGCCCCCCCCCCCCTTCCCGCCCGCCGTTGCGCGCAGACCAGAGCAAGTCAGATCAGCGCGAGGGAGAGCCGCAGATCAGCGTGAGGGAGAGCCGCAGATCAGCGCGAGGGAGAGCCGGTACCGGCAGATCAGCGTGAGGGAGAGCCGGCAGACTTGCGCTGCTGCGAACCGGTTCCGCATTGTTGCACAGCGATCCAGGCAGCTGCTTCCAG